GTGTGTGTGTGTGTGTGTGTGTGTGTGTGTGTGTGTGTGTGTGTGTGTGTGTTAAAATCTAACGTTCTTTTAATCCCCACAATATCATTCCACTGGCGACATGTATGAAAAAGATTGGTTATTTCGACAGCTACATTGCATTCGCGAAAAATAGTGTGTATCGCAATCACCGGCAGTAACAGAACTACGCGAAATGCGCCACAATCAGAATTAATACTATCTAATAAAAACATACTGTGAGGGTGTAGATGGTCATTTTCGTAAATGCATGCCTGTAATTTCCACACCCCGTTGTGACAAGTATCTGAGGTCCAGGAAGCTTTATATAACTGCTTTTTTTTTTGAGCTATCTCATCTCTCGTGGGGGGGGTTACTCCAAATAATAATACGMTTTTTTTCAGACACATCTGGGTTTGTTTTAGGAATAAACTCATCTAACGGAAGTAACGCTATGAGAACAAGCCAGTCTTCGTATTTTAAGATGGACTGAGGTGTGTCTGTTGAAAACTGTTCGTTGTCACGAATTTGGTAAAAACCCACCTCCCCCCCTATGATAATTAAACACGTAACCCACGCTCGCAGTGTATCCATATTTCTCTAAAGAGAACTCTCTGTGRAACAGATGTGCTGGTGGAACCTGACTTCTAAATATATATAAACTTTTATTTTTTTTAGGAGCTCCGGGTCGGTCTTCAACCTCCGGTCTAGAGACAGATACCGGAGTAAAGAACATGCCAATTCGAACATCTGATTCGAGATTAGCGTTCGGTTTGTCTAGCTCTGTAGAGGTTGAAGCGTTTTTACTTTTTTTTCTGGCTGTTCAATTGAGGGTTTTACCAGTGATCCGGGCCTCTTTGACATGGTTTTTCCCTGTAAAAAGAAAGAAAGAAAGATAGACGAAAAAATAATTAAAATCAATTTGCAACATTTTAAAATATAAATACATTAAACTCTAAATAAAAAAAACATTTTTTTACTGACCTGTTAGTTTTTGCGCTACAGAAAAAAGAGAACTCGGCTTCTATCTGC